AAATTTCAACTTATATTAAATAATATTTATCAATATTAGTAATATTTAAATTTTGTTAATATTTATTTATAATTAATAGTAATAAATAATAATTAATATTAATGAGCTTTATAATTAGAAAAAGTGACAATAAGCTATCAAAACGCTACTCCAAGTAATGTTTCAATAAGTTAACTTATATGTGCATTCAAACATATACCATAGAAAATAAGCTGGCTTATTTCCGTCAAATAATGTCTTAATTTCAAAGGTTGTCTTCTTGAATTTTCATCGTGTAGGTATCAAGTTTTCAATCGTGATGTCATAACTTTTTATTTGCATCTCGAATTAAAATGTTAAATTCTTTAAATTTAGAGTACTCTAAAAAAATATTACCATAAAAGAGTAATAGTTCCTGTTATATTCTACCAATAAAAAAACTTGATGTTAAATGTTTATGAAAGAAAAATAGTATTTTAATAAATATATAAAAATATTTTAATAATATAAATAATACTGTGATTTTTAAACAGAGACCCCTGAAAATTAATTTTAATTAAAAAATATTATTTTAATGATAGTTATATATTATATTATATTTATTTTATTTCAACTACTTACGAAATAACTTAAAAAACGTTAGTGATTTAAATCGACATAAACCAAGCTTAAGATTTAGACAAGGCCACCATGGAGGTTCCAAGACCACATACACTGGCTTATGCCCAAGATAAAGATTTACACGTGGCAGCAACCCATTTGAGATCTCCATAGGTTTTGGATAAGAATATGGATTACCCTTCAAGAAAACCACTTTCTCCTAACAAAACTAATACCTATCTATCACCTACACTTGTTTCTCACCATAACACAAATTCTCTAATCTTCCAAACGCAAATGGCATCCATGACAATGGCATCCTCATTCCTTGGTGGCTCCGCCGCTATTTCAGTCACCAAGCAACCCTCCACCACCACCACCAGCAGCCGCCGCGCAATGGTGGTGATGGCCAAGGCCTCAGTTGATCAGAAAGTTGTGGTGGCTGATCAAAAGGAGGGGAACAGCAGCAATGGGAGGAGGGACATGATGTTTGCGGTTGCAGCCGCGGCTGCATTTTCCGTGGCCAAAATTGCATTGGCCGATGAGGAGCCGAAGCGTGGGACCGAGGCCGCTAAGAAGAAGTACGCACAGGTGTGTGTCACGAATCCAACAGCTCGCATTTGCCGTTACTAGTCGCATCATCCGTGCGTACGACGACAAGTTGAATTTGCGCATCGAGCGTTTCTAGAATTGATGATGCTTTTGCTTATTTAATTTTACGGTGTCTCGAATGACAAATGTTTATTCTGCTCTCAAAATATTATTCGGTTTCTATATCATTAATTACTTCTATATATATCTCCAAATGTGCGAAATTTACCTTTTATATGACGGTTAACATAGCGATTAACGGGTTAATTTTACTCGGATGTTTGTTTTGAACTCATTATGGAGAGACTTGGAACTTACTCCGGTACAAAAAATACAGGATTATCATTGATGGGCAAATCTGTCGGTATTCCATCCGAAAGAACCATTCTCGACGGGCTTCTAACATTTAGAGACGGAAAATCCGTCGGCAAGGCATTGCTAAACCACGACAAATCCGATGGACAAATCCGTCGGTATATGTTGCTAACATTTTACCGTATAAAATGATGGTATGTGGAATATAGAGAGTACCGATGGAATAATGATGGATTACTGACGGTCACGCCATTTTTAATGAAATGTTTTAATTAGCTATTACCGACGACTTTCTGATGGCACTTTCCCGACAGATTACCGTCGAAAATTCATCAAAAACCCTTGTTTTTTTTTGAAAATTTTCGTATAATTTTCTATTTAACATGGATACAAAAACACCAATTGATATATATATAGAAGTCTGAAGACAATTATTATACAAAAATACCGATTCAAATTCAGTTAATAATGATTATTTTGTGACAACTTGTTGAAAAATGGCTATTTTGTTAATACAATACGTATAAAACGGCTATTTTGGTGATTTCCCTAATTACAGAGTAAATATAAGGAATGGAGGGAGATTGAAAAATCTATCAACAATAACGGTTGAAATATGTTTTGATTGATTCAACTTATAAGACTTTGTTACTACTAAAACATTATGAAATTAAAACTATAAATATTGAACGATAAAAGGCAGCAACAGGTTTTCCAACAAGACTTACAAGAAGCTCTAGGAAACTCTAAATAGTCGTTTAAACATATTAGGGGCATATGGCAATGAAAGAAAGGTTGAGTTTCAGTGACAAAGAAAGTTACAGTGAGAAACGTAAGAACAGATCACCACCTTAGATCAATCTTGATTGAATGTCAAAACTACTTAGGTGCATTTGAATATACCAATACTAAAATTTGAACCTAGTTAACCTTTGTTTATATGATAGATGTGCTAATCCAATGCGACGAATCTAGTCCTTCGAGAGAGAAAATTGACATTGGCCCAAACTAGCCCGATAAATTTAAGAAATGGATTAATTGGGCTTTTTTTCCACTCTTCACGGAAACAACTACTCTATATAAATAAGCAAAGATATCACCATTTTATTATAGATTATATCTAAATATAACTCCAGATTGATAAATTCTAGTTAAATTGCACCACGTTCCGCAACGAACGAACGTACTAAATACGTATTGCGATGCCGTGAACGGTTTATTTCAAAGAGCAGAGGCAGCATAGAAGATGATCACAGTTTCACAAAGTTCTTGTCCTTCAAACTCTCCACAGTTTCCTTTATGCTTTGCTCAATGGGAATGTAATCAATTCCCAAGCTCTTTGCTTTTTCTTTCGAAACTTGGAACGTTGGAGCGAAAGGATTGTCATCGGCACACCTGCAAAAAGTTATTCAATGGAAGATAACGTATTTAGTCGAGACCACAAGCGTGTTATGTGTGTTGCAATTTCCGCAGGAGGTAGTATTTTTGCCCACGGGTCAATTATTTGGTCGATTCACATGTCCGTTTATATATAGCATGCTCGTATCGTGAGCATATTTCGCCTACGATGCGCCTTGTCAAAATTACCACTCTAGTTTTACACCAAAAAGACCAGATCAAACCAAACACACCCGGTATAAAGTGAAGAGGCTTACTTCTCTGGTAGTTGACAAGACGGGTAAAGCTTTCGCAGAATCGCTATCAACTCGGAATAGTGAACAACACGCTCCACCAAACAATATCTTCCGCTAGCCGAAGGGATCTCAAAAGCCTGGATGTGTGCATTTGCAACATCCTTAACGTTAACCCACCCGAGACTGGAATTTAGATACGTTTCTGACCCTGCAAGCGTCTTCGAAGTCAAACAGACGGATACACTTCTATCTTTTGTTAAGAAACTAGTGTGTATACACACACACACATATATATATATATATATATATATATATATAGCTGAACACAATAAGATCATACCATTTAATAGTCTTGCAATTGCTTCAGCACTAGTGTTAAGATTTGATTGTAATAGAGTACCAATCACCATTGCAGGGTTTATGGTGACTATATCCATCCCCTTTTCTTTCGCAAATTTCCAAGCAGCCTCCTCAGCCAAAGTTTTTGATAGCACATACCACAACTTGAAGTAACAACAGTTAAAGGCAATAGAACCAAACTCGAAAGCAAGGGATGAAAACAATGATCGCTACAACAAAATGGGTCTTTCAAGACACCTTAACGGAAGTCCTAATAGATACGTGACCAGATAAGTTCTATCAATGAAGTTGGACAACCTGACATGACACAAAAAAGTAAATTGTCCTACTTCTAAAAAGTGTTGATCTTCGCCCTTTTAGAACACTTTCCAAGTGTCCTAATAGCACAAAGTTCCATTAAGTAGTCTATTAACGTTATCGTACTAAAAGAGCCACTTTATTATAGTAGATATGTCGATGAGAAAAAAGTCTGAATGGGGTTCATATGCTCACTTTCATTTCCTTGCAAAGATCTGGATCAGAAAACCAAGTCTCATCAACTACAGTTTCAGGAGTCTTAGGTCTCCCAGTAGCCTCAACTGCAGCCATGGAGGATGTTACAACCACTCGTTTCACCGACGAAGCTTTTGAACAAGAAGCAAGAACATTGAGTGTTCCCTTCAATGCAGGTTCAATTAACTCTGTCTGAAGCAAACAGTCAAACATCTGGGTGTCAGTAAAAAGCATTAAAAAACTTATTAACGGGCTGTTTGGTTGGTTTTTCATTACGTCTGTATGGATAAAGTTATCTTAGTAGGTTAATCCGTTTGTATGGATTGAGAAGATTTTCATTTGAAAGAATTTTTCTCATAGATGGAAGGAGCATGTTTTAAAGAGTAGTAGGTTTGAAAAAACTTGGCTTTCTAGATAAAAAAAAAGCCTAAAAACTTACTAAATAAGTCATTTTTTATATCATTAAGTCACTTTCAACCGAATGGAATAAATTTTGAGTTAGTAAAGGTTATTAAGCTAGTAAGAAAGTGTGAAAAAAACCTGGGGATCAGTGACTGCAGTGAAAAAAGGAGATGCTGTATGGAAGACACCATCACAGCCATCAACTGCATCATCAAATGAACCATCTTGAAGAAGGTCTGCTTTGAATAAGTGAAGCCTTTCCTTAGCTCCATCAAGTTTCAGCAAATGGTCTGTTTTTGTTGGATTATCTGAAGGAATCCAGAATACAGATCATAACCATGGTTTTTCTGACACAGATCATCCTCTCATTTGATCATATAAAGCTATTAAAATAAGTTCAAAAGAGGGATGGAAACTGACTAGGGTAGCGCACGGAGGCTTTGACGGAGTATCCTCGCTCCAGCAAAAGCTTGACGAGACACGAAGCAATGTAGCCTGAACCTCCGGTTACACAGACCGTCTTTCCGGCACCGCTCATTTTCTCCGGTACTATTACTCATCGCTCCGTTGTCCCTTTTTTTATTATTTGTACTGGATGAGAATTACAGCAGTTGGAATCATTTGTTTATGTGGTTCATACTCGTCCATCCCCACCGACGTTTTGGTTACCAATAATCAACATGCCTTATCTTCAAATTCTGGATTTTTAAACATGGTATTTATTAGAAAAGTGTGGACATGTGTTGCAACAACAACAAATTTCTGAATACATGTATGGGCAGTAGACGAGAAAAAGGGTTGATGGTATCCATAATCATCTGTTGGTTCTTAGGTTGGGGGACCATATATCACCCTGTCCCTACACCCATAGAAGATGGGTTTGGTATCAAGTGACATTACTAATTAGGATTTCAGTCTTGGGTTATGATGGAATGAGAAGATTGTGCTTGTAAAATGTTTGATTTTTAAGGTTTGATGTTCATATTTTATTAGATTGAAACCTCAATTTGTAATGTCAAGTGTTATTGAAGATGATAAGGTGTTAAATGTAGGGAAGGTGTTTGATGAAATGCCAAAGATAACTATTGTTTATTGGGAACTTCATATAATAATTTTTTCGATTAGATGCATGAAAGCTGTTTGATGAAATGCTCGAGTCACACTGTTGTTTTGATTCTCTTTGGCATGAAGCAAATTTATATTTTTTTTGCCACTCGGAACATTTATCAATCGATCCTTTTTCATTTATTACTTAATCTAGACAGAGGGTTAAAATGGTAATTTTGTTGTTGTCGTCGTCCGATGGTTGAATATGCCAATTTGGATGTTTATGTGAAACCAACATCAAGCAACATATATATAGAGAAGAACCACAAATTATTTATATGATCTAGAAGTTGAAATGATGTTGTAAGCTTGTATTTTTGTGCTTTATTATGATTTATTAGTTTGCTCCTATGCTTGCATTATTCGAACACATTGAATAATTAGCATTTAGCTTTTCGTGCTCATTCTGTTTTTAGGAATTTCTTCTCCTTCAAGCTCTCAATGGTTTCTTTGATGCCTTCTTCAAGAGGTGTATACTTAATCCCCAAGCATTTTGCTCTTTCTTTGGAGAACTGATACTTCACAATTGGAGCATCATCTTCACACCTGCAGCCATCCCAGTACCCAGTTTAGTAGTCTGATCATTTATCATGGTATCATATGCAGGAGATATAAGAATATTTTGGTGTTATATTTGTTACAAAATTTATGTCCATCTGCAATTTGGAAAGTACTTTGTTTGACTTTGTGAGAATATGAGAAATATCATTAACTAGATTGCTCTCCTAAATCCAAAAAGCTCCCTTTAGGAGATAAAAGGAGGTTCCAACGTTATCGAGAAAAAATGGTCAAAGTCTGTCCTATGTAGGCCCTGATACGCCCCCTCCAATGGAGGCTAGACAAAGACATTGTCCCAGAGTGTTGAGAGGGGGCTAGGCGAATATAGATTATCCTAGAGGGTCGAGTCCGGAGAGTGGTAGCCTTGGCTCTGACCATGTGAGAATATGTGGAATACCATTAGATTACTCTCCAAAAGAGCTCTTCAGTTGAGAAGGTCGTTCCAGCATATATTAAGGATAAATGATTCAAGTCTAACTGATGTGGGACTACATATTTCAAACTCAACCCTGTGATCGGTCCATTTTTATGAATCCAACATCAATTGATTCTCATCGTTTTTGTAGTTGTAGGTAATGAAGATAAAAATTCTTACGTGTTTGGAAGCTTGAACGAAGGATAAAGCTTGTGTAGTATCTGGACTAGTTCGGAAAAATGGACAACACTCTCAGCCATGCAGTATCTTCCACTAGCGGAAGGCGTCTCAAATGCCAAAATATGTGCGATTGCGACATCCGTGATGTGAACGCACCCAACAGTGATATTGCGGTATGTTGGTGCTGCATTTTAGTAAATATGTTAGTGAAATCACCCAACAAGAGTTTGCTTACTGGCAAAAAAAGGTTTGGGCTGGCTCTTCTTCAGGGCCCTATGGGATTAGTCGAGGTGCGCACAAGCCGGCCCAGACACCTATGGCTAACCAAAAAAAATTACCACGAAAACATGAAACAAAGGTCAAGGTTTAGAACTTTAGGTGAATGGGGCGAATGTATATGCATACCGTTGATCAAGCTAAAAATGGCACGGGCACTTGTGTTGAGGGTTGGCTGCAGTAGAGGTCCGATGACCATTGCAGGGTTGATGGTGACCATGTCCATGCCTTTCTCTTCTGCGTATTTCCATGCAGCTTCTTCAGCCAAAGTCTTCGAAAGTGGATACCACAGCTGGATACCCAACATCAAACCACAGATCATGCATCTTATGACCGAGAATATGTGGAACCCTGTTAGATTATCCTCTATTACAGTCCTAGCAAATTAAAGGAGGTTCTAACACATATAATGAGGACAAAGGGTCCAAATATAGCGGATGTGAGACTCTAACACACCCCTTCCAATTGAATTGGCTAGACAGTCGAGTCCCAAGGGTGGTAGATTTTGGCTTTCATACCATGTGAAAATATGTGAAGTTGCATTAGATTACTCTTCAAAAGAGCCCTTCAGGAGAGAAGAGAGGTTCCAACATATATTAAGGAGAAAGAGTCAAAGTCTAGCCAACGGACAATAACATATCTGCAAGTATTGCGATACGTGAAATAAGCTATAACACGTGTCATTCTTGTCTTAGTCGTGGATTTAAGAATATAGATCATGTACCTGTTATAATAAAGTGATTCAGAGGATTGGTAAAGAAAAACCCTGGTTAATTTGGACTTACAAAACAGTTAAGATACGATCATGCCCACCTTTGATTCCTTACAAATCCCTTGATCGGAAAACCAGCTTTCATCAACCACAACTTTTGGTGTCAATGGCGAACCATTGTACAAAACTGCAGCAACAGATGAAGTCAAAACCACCCTTTTGATTGATGGAACCTTAGAACATGAACTCAAAACGTTCAGTGTTCCCTTTACTGCAGGATCTATCAGCTCTTCCTAGATACATGAAACAGTACCACAAGAACTTCCATCACTACAAGAAAACAACTGATCTGGTTTCTTTATTTGGTTAGTATTCTCGTTTGAACCCCTCTCTCTCTCTCTCTCTCTCTATATATATATATATAAAGTAGCTGAATTGAGTGATGAAGGTTAAGCACCTGTGGATTATTGGTTGTAATGAAGAAGGGAGATGCAGTGTGAAAAACGCCATCGCAGCCTTGGACAACCGCATCAAATGAACCATCCATCAGTAAATCTGCTTGAAACAAGTGAAGCCTTTCCTTGGCTCCATCAAGTGCAAGCAAATGCTCAGTTTTCTTTGGGTCATCTGAATCAAAAACATAGAATGATCACTTATAAGAAACTAAATTACAATAACGCCAACTCAACTGACAAATAAATGCCAGACCTTGGGGCTCTTCCCCACAGGTATCCGGTTCCGCTAGGAATTTTCATGGCTGTTATTTTCAAGGGTCTCATAGGATTAGTCAAGAACATATAAATGTTATAACCAAAAAAAGGATATAGATATATATGTATATATATATATATATAGAGAGAGAGAGAGAGAGAGATGTAGGGAGTATAACTGAGGTCACGAACGGTGGCGTTGACGGTGTAGCCACGGTGGAGCAGGAGCTTAACAAGCCATGAAGCTATGTAACCTGAAGCTCCTGTGACACAGACAGTCTTCCCTTCCTCCTGGCTGCTCATTCTTGTGTTTTTTGCCTCACACTAGTATTTTTGGATTTCTTTATAAGGGTGCAGTGTGTATTTAGTTCTATGTTGGATCGGGTCCGTTTCACATTATCAATTTTTGTTATGAGTTACGTTTCGATGAGTCTGATACCATAGTTGTAGAAAAAAATGGTATTTTTGGGAGTAGTTTTGTGTTGATGGTGAACATATATATGGTTAATTTCTTTAAAAGGAAAGTATAGTTGTCGCATGCAACTGTTTTATGAACAACATCATTGTATTTATTGATGAATTAAGTACACACGTTTGTAAACTAGTGGCCCTTTCTAACGCGGGTTATTTAGTTAAATGACTTTAAATGAGTTTCAATTCAAAGCATGCATGTCTTTAAAGATATTACTCTGTAACCTTCAACTGATATGACTTTGATGTTAAAAAAAAACATAATAAATTTATGACCCTTTAATTAATTATTACATTCTAATGAATACGAAACCATTTTCTTAATTTTAAAAGATGAGGAGTTCGTTGATTTAATTAAATCTACTACAAATTTTATATAAATAGATTTAATTAATACAATTCACATTGACCAACCTTTACATAAATGGATAAAAATTGCTCACCACCAGTGTGGTGGATCCAGGAAATTGATGGGGTGGGGGTACGTTGGATGAGACTTGGGGGAGGGAAGCATATGGTCATATGGGATTGGAGGAAAACCATGTAAGACGAAAGTGAAAATAGAAAATTTAAGCTAGTCAACAAAGGTTTTTGGTTTTTGACTGAGGCCTTTCCCCCTAGTGCTTAAATGCTAGTTCTGCCCCTGTACACAGGGTGTGATTAGGGCAAAAGGGGATGGGCATCGATGCGCTTTCGGAAGGTAAGGGTGTATTGGGAGAAATGACAAATCCCCAACCTCCGATGAAGCAGTTAGGCCGAGGAGTTGGGAAAAGATTTTTTATTTCACTTTGTTACTGTAGAGGTGAATGTAGGCACTCGTACTTCCCTCCCTTTATATCGTAGGTCCGTCCCTTGGATCCACTCAAAGGACGTGGGGATACGTCGTGGATATTCAGTAACTAAGCGTGACTATTGATATAATTAACATCGTATTTAGAAGAAAGCGAACATTAGAAGGAAGCGAACCATTTTTCCATCCATCTATTTTGTGGTCATATAAAGGATATACCCACAAACATCATTCCAGTTTCTTAAAGGTCAAGAATTCAACGTTATTGGGTTGTTCTCGCGTTCTCGCAAATCATATGGGTTCTCGTTTGAACCTTCACACACACGCATATATATATATATATATATATATATATATATATATATATATAATAATAGATAGTTGTAAATAAGATGGAAGTCAAATGATAGCATACCACCAAGCATTAGTGTTATGGAGTAGGTAAAGAGTCATAATCTTTGTGAAACCACCATGTAAAGTTTCCATCAATGCATTCACTACTAACACTTCCATTTAATAAATGGAAATTTTGTGCAATAAATCCACATTTTAAGGTGGTTAGGGCATTTCTAGGCATCAACATTCTTATTTATTTATTTATTAAAATGATGTCATTTTTAGTGCAAATCATTATTCATCTTTAATCATTACCTGCTACTAGTTTATGCTTAACAAAATATTATAAATATATTTCTTTTTATACCAATTTTTTTAATAAAAATGGTGTAAATTAAAGCTTGGGGTTTTTTTATTTTTTTTTATTTTTAAAGGTTATCGGTTTGAATCTTACAAAATTATTTGGTATTTTCCTGTCTGTTCTCCAGGACTCCTAAGATTACGGGTGTGTAAAACTTAAACGGTCTGAAAACCTGAAACGAAAGAAATAAGGAGGTTGTGTAAAAATCAAATGCCCCAAAATTTGAAACACGACTTTTGTGGGACATTTGAGTTTGAGATGGGTTTATTTTTGGCCACTAGACCCGTTCGAAAATCAGAAATGTATAAATTTATTATTTTTAAATATATATATTCATTTTATCTAATTATCTTTTAAAAAAGTATTATGTAATTTTGTATCATCTCAATACATTTAAAAAAACCTTTTATATAGAATACCGATACTTACAATTTCATCGGTGGAAAAGAATGACAAAATCTTTTCTATCTTCTTATTTAGATTTTACAAAATTCTTTATAGTTGTAGTTTAATTATCGTTTTCTTTAGTTCATAGAATAATATAAAACATCTATTAGAGCAAAAAAAAAATTATTTTATCTATTTTAATAATTACTAGAAGTGTACTCGCGCAATACAGCGAGATAAATGTCTATCTTCATGTTTAGTTTTTATTCTTTATCTCTATCGATATAATACGATTTCATGTGGTTTTCAGAAATCGATGATGTTTTTATTTTTAAATGAAATATAAATTTGAAGATAACATAAAATTTTGAAAAAAATAAACCGATATTAGTGTCATATTAACTATTTAATAGTTCTCATTTCTCTGGTATAACTTCTTTAATTCAATTTTTTTTTATAATTCAATTTAGATTTAATAACAAAATAATTTATTTTTGTTTTAATAATATAATTTTTTATAAAGTTAATAATTAAACATTTTGTTAGAACTCAATATTTATCTTAATTATATTTTAGATTTTCTATGTTTAAAATGAATGTTTATCATGTATTTGATTATGTTTATCTACAGTTAGTTATACGAATTTAAAAATGAAACTTTAATAAGTTGTATTTACGTAAAATTACTTGTACTCTTGAATTTTAAGTAATATGCATCAATAAACAACTAGTTGTGCACCCGCGCAATGCGATGGGAGCCATGAATTTTAACGATTTTGAAGTTCCACTGGTTTTATAAGATTAGATTTAACAATGATATAAGTTACACTTGGTCTTTACATATTAATACAATTTGAATAAATAAGAGTTATGGTTCCAATTACAAACTATCGATGAAAAAAAATTGTATGACAGTTTAAAATCCAATATATTTAAACGACTCCACAAATGTATTCGATTTACACCAAGAGCAAAGAACCAAGAAACTTGAGTTTTAAGATAAACACTCAAAACCAATAAAGAAAACTACAAATTTGACAGATCATAAGCCATGAAAAGACAAAAAAAGATGGGTTTTAGAATGAAATTTCAACTGCTTACCCTCTTTCTTGTCAAGAAACTCATATTAAGATTGAATTAATACATGTATATATATATATTTCAAAAAACCCAAGAACATATTAATTCAAAACATATTATACAGTGCAATTTGGACAGCCTAACCCCAAAACATATAGTATATATATAACTATAAAAGTATAAATCGTAAATATTAAAAATAATTTTTCATAGTATATATAATATATAATAATATAATTAAGTCAAAAACTATTCAATATTGAACTCATTTCGAAGGTATTAACGAGACGATTATAATCGTGTAACTTGTTAAAATAAAAATGTATTTTTTAAACATGTTTTAATTGATATACGATTATGTATGTTAATTTGATAAATGTTTAAAATGAAACATTTAAAAGTAAAGGACATAAAGTAAATTAATTAATTAATTATAGGAGTATAAAGTGTAAATTTAAAATTATAATTTTAAAAAAATCGGTTGTGAGAGGTTGAGTGTATGTGAGAGGGTGAAAAAATGAGTATAAATAGTATTTTGGTCATTTAATATTTTAAGACTTTAAGACTTTTGTTAAATTTGCTTAATAAGATAATATAGATACTTCATGCATAAAAAATAGTTTTTAAAAGTTTTTATTAAATGCTTTATAATATAGCATAGATATGTAAAATATAGTTATTAATTATTAATATAAAAATATTAACAAAGAGATGTGATGACTTTACCTAAATATAAGTAGGTTTTAGGTTCATCCTAGACCTTTTGCTCACTGCAGCTGCTAGTGAGTCAAAAAATACCTCCTTATATTAGTGTCTTTGCAGATGAGTTTCATGAGGGACTAAGTGAAATTATCAGTAATCAACTTTAATCTAAACTATAGATAAACAATTTAATATTTCGTGATAACTAAACAAGCATCATACATTTATATATATATATATAGAGAGAGAGAGAGAGAGAGAGAGAGAGAGAGGTTGGTTATTATACAACCCTTATCATTTGTGCAACAAATACAACTCAATCTCAACCGTTCATTTCATTTGATTAATATGTGATTTTATAGAGGTTTTGATTATTTCCTAATATAAAGTATTAATCATAATTAATGAACCGTATTCATCTTCCATAAATATTTAAATCATAATAAATGAACTCTAATCATTTCCATATATATTTCAATTTATTGGGTTGCATTGGTTGTACAAATACGATAGGTTGTATTTGAAATAAACCTTATATATATATATATATATATATATATATTTATCAATCAATACCTTCAAAGAAAATTATGAAAATTACATAAATTGATAATATAAAAACATTAGAAATAATTATAAGTGTTCAAATTATTGGGCTCGTTCATGTTTCATAACCTGGACTTTAGATCAGCTTCAATCTTAGGCTGTTCAAAAAAAAACTATGGGATTAAATCAATCAGTCGAATCAAATTAAACCAGACCGTTTTTTGAAATTTAAGCAGCTTGATGGTCCGGCCCAATCTGAAAAATTATCAAATTGTTCCGTCCGGTTCGATATATAGTTTGAACGTTTTTTGAGCAGTTTAGACCAAACCGACCATCAAAATAAACATATATTAATTATATTTGGTTTTGATGTTGTATGCTCAATTTTTATGACCCAATAAAAAGATCCATCCAAAATATTAAGTTTTTACATTTTTGCTTTTCAATTGTTCGCGTTCTTTAAATTGGCAAAATTCCAAAATCTGTTAAAAATCAAAATCCAAAATCTCAAACCGTCTTTTGATTTACTCCATATTTGTCAAAAAAATCCGACTATTTTTGAGGATGCGTTTAATTTTCTCTTCAACTTTCCAATGTTCTTTTAATTTTGGATCAAAATAGATGTTTTTTTTATAATTTGATATAATTTTTTATAATAATGTTGCACCGATAAAATATTCATTTTAAAGATAGACGTCACGTTTCTTTTAGTTTAAAGCAATTCAATCTGTCTCAACTAATTCGGTCACACCATCTTTTTGTGGTCCCATTTGATCAATATGGTCGCGATTTGATTTGAAAATTTTCTAAATATAATTACGATTTGATTTATGATTTAGAGATTGAACCATTCAAGCAAACAACTAAGGGGGTGTTTGAGATTGCTTATCAAAACTGTTTTTTAACTTATTTTAGTCTGGCATCGGAGATAAGCTGTTTTTTAATGTTTGGGTAAGGAAAAAAAACTACTTATACCAGTGTCAAACCGGTAATAAACAGTTTTTGATAAGTTAATTCTTCTTGACTTATGAAAAACTGTTTATTACCAGTTTAACATTTTAACCTTGTTTTATTAATGTTTGTTAATTATTAATCTTATTGATAAAAAGTTTTGTCAAAAATATTATTATAAATGATGAAAAATAAATTTTTACATGTTAAAAAATCAAATAAGTTAATAATCAAAAATATTATTATATGGAAGACTGTCATTTTTGGTCATTTTACATATGTAAGCAAAATTTGTCAAACACTAAAAAACAACTTATCAGCTTATTGCTTTTTGGTACCGCTATAAGCTAATCCAAACACTTTTTACAACTCCGATTTAATACCACATAAGTTAATAAACACTTTTTTACAAAAAAAAACATAAGTTGTTTTAAATAAACAATCCCAAACACCCTCTGATTTAATGTAAAATTTCTTAAAGTTTGTTTAGATGATAGATGTATAAAATTTTAATAATATAATTAATATTAAAAAAATAAGTATTTAATTTTTATTTTATATTGTCTCAATTTTTTTGACTCATAACATGAGTTTTGTGTGGACGAATTATGAACCATTGACCCTACCAAGTTTTCCACAAGCACATTCGAACCTAAGCTTTTTGGGATGGTCTTCTCGGTCAACCGCACTTTGGGATTTTTTATTAAAATATATTCCAGTTTTTTTCATTAAAACAATGCTTCATGCTTTGCTATTTTTAATTTTAAACGAATGGTTTAAATGAGAACATCTTTATTTTATGAAAATACGAGAACATTTTTTACTATAGACAATCACATGTGATACTATTATTTCATCACCTATGATACATATGTGATACTAAATCAAAGACGCGAACGATTTTCGATGTGATCTTGGTTGCGGGTCAAGTCGTCCTTACACCACTAAGCTCCCTCACAAGTATTATCACATGTGATAAGGATGTTGTTGATATGATAGTATAATTCATCAAGACCATCACATGTGATGCTAAATCATAAACACAGACAACCTTTGGTGCGGCCTAAGTCGTAGAACACGTCGTCCGCACATCACAGAGTCCTCTCACGCATATTATTACATGTGATAAGAATGTTCTCTTGTTCTCGAAAAATAGAGGTGTTCTCGTTTGAACCTCCACCTATATACATACACACACATATACATATATATATATATATATATATATATATATATGACACGTGTCATCTTTTGGTAAGATGGTTATCTTGTTTTCCTGCCTAAAGACGTATCTAGACACAATTTACATTATCAGTTCAATTAGACTCATTTGAACGTATCTAAGCATTTACATTAACAGTTCAATTAGACTCATTTGATCGATATGTGTCCTCTTATTCAATCAATCCCACTAATTTAGAATCAATTGATTTTATTCTTGGGTTAATTAATTCGTGTGGTAACTGATTCCCAAAAAAATGGTGTTTTACTTCAGATTTATTTTTCATATTACTTCAGAGTTATTCTTCAGGGTTATACTTTAGAGCTATTCTTTAGAGTTTTACTTCAGAGTTATATTCAAAATTATACTTCAGAGTTATTATTCAGAGTTATACTTCAGAGTTATTCTTTAGAGTTTTACTTCAGAGCTATTCTTTAGAGTTTTATTTCAGAGTTATTCTTCAGAGTTATTCTTCAAAGTTATACTTCAGAGTTATTATTCAGAGTTTTACTTCAGAGTTATTATTCAGAGTTTTACTTCAGAGTTATTATTCAGAGTTTTACTTCAGAATTATTATTCAGAGTTATTTCAAGAGTAAAAGTCTGAAGTAGCATCGTACTTTCAATGATCATTTATATATATGTAAGATAAGTTTTTTGACATGATTTAATTTTTTAAAATTACCCTGTATAAGGGGCTGTTTGGCAATTGCTGAATAGTTTGGTGCAAAATGATTAAGTGGTCAGAATGATTAAGAGGCTCTCATTATGTAGTGCAAAATGAAATATAATTATTTGGTAATTGCGTACAATGAAATTAGGGCTCTTAATGGTTAAGGGAGATCCATGATACAAAATCATTCAGATGGTTTTAGAACCATTAAGAGGCAGACTTTTTTTTTGTCAAACAAGATTCACTTCTTAACAATTCAGATGTTGTCTTTTAATGGAACTATTAAGGTAAAAAAAAACCGGTTCCAACATTGTATAAATAAATAACCTGTTGACGCAAACCCTTGACCGAATACTGTAGTCTCATAATTTCATCTTCACCAAAAACCTTCATCTCTCTCTCATGGCGGTGGCCTCTCTAAATCCATCATCTTTCCATCACCCTAAACACCTTCACCACCGTCCTTCCAATTCCAACCATCTCTTCCATAAAACCCTAAACCTCCATTTTCAAACCAAACCCATCTCACCCACCTCCATAACTACTACTTCCTCTTCTCTTCCAACCCTAAATTCAAAAACCCACATCCAAAACCATCAAGAACATGAAGATTTACAGGAACATGATCCACCTCTTCGTCAAATTTGGAAAGAAATCCAAGGATCCGACGACTGGAATGGTCTTTTAAACCCCATAAACTCCCACCTCCGCCGTGAAATCATTCGCTACGGTGAGTTCGCCCAAGCCTGCTACGACTCGTTCGACTTCGACCCACGATCCAAATACTGTGGAACTTGTAAATATACGGGTACGCATTTCTTCGAAAAGCTTGAAATGGGTGATCGTGGATACCATATTAGCAGGTACTTGTATGCCACTTCCAATATCAATCTTCCAAATTTCTTCCAAAGATCCAAGTTATCGAGTGTTTGGAGTCAACATGCGAACTGGATGGGGTATGTGGCGGTTGCCACCGATGAAGATGAGGTCCAGCGACTTGGCCGGCGAGATATCGTCATCGCATGGCGAGGAACCGTCACGTATCTTGAATGGATTCATGACCTGAAGGATATCTTGCATCCGGCTCATTTCAGCGATGATCCTTCGATCAAGATCGAATCAGGGTTCTTCGATTTGTACACGACTAAAGAACAGGCATGCCATTATTGCTCGTTTTCGGCTCGCGAACAAATACTTTCAGAGATCAAGAGAATTAAAGAGAGGTAACGAAATCATTTGTAAAATGACAATAAAACTTGACAACAATTATTAAATTCATTGTGAGAAGTTCGGAACTTAATTTTAAATACAACTTCTTTTCAACAGGTACGAAGGTGAAGAGCTCAGTATCACGATCACAGGACACAGTCTCGGGGCAGCACTCGCGCTATTAAGCGCTTACGACATTGCAGAGATGAGATTAAACTATACAAACACCGGTAACAAGATCCCGATCACGGTCTTCTCGTTCTCCGGCCCAAGAGTCGGTAACTTGAAGTTCAAGGAACGTTGTGATAAGCTTGGGATCAAGGTTTTACGGGTGGTTAATGTACACGATAAGGTTCCGAAAGTGCCCGGAATCTTTGCTAACGAGAAAACAAAACACCAGAAGTACATCGAAGAAAAGATTTTGTTTCCATGGAGCTACGCTCATGTGGGAGTGGAGTTGGAATTGGATCATAACGATTCACCATTTTTGAAACGAACGAATGATATCAGCTGTGCTCATAATTTGGAAGCTTTATTGCATTTGGTGGATGGTTATGGTGGTGATGGTGGTGGTGGAGGGTTTTGTTCTGCAGCTAAGAGGGATATTGCACTAGTGAATAAGAGTTGTGATTTCTTGAAGGATGAGTATGGGGTGCCGGCGTACTGGCGGCAGGATGAGAATAAGGGGATGGTGAGGGGTGGCGATGGGCGGTGGGTGTTGCCGGAGCGGCCGCGGCTGGATTCGCATCCACCGGACACGGCGTACCATCTAGAACAAGTTCTCAAGTTTGCCACCAAATCTACTTTGAATGCACTTTGATTATGCACGTGGTTAATTAATAATTAATTATTATATGGTAATTGTATAAATTATTAAATAATTGTATGATTTTGTAGCATAAAATATGTTGGTAAAGATTATGAATAGGCATGGGAGTGTCCCCCAACCCAGGCCCGTTAAATTGGGACGAGGATTCCTGTTTAGTAACTTGGTTTAAAATTTAAAATTGTTGTTTTGTTGGATGTTAGTACGTAATATTTTGATGTCAAGTCAAAATATAATTACTCAGTGTGATTTTTTTTTGTATTAAATTAAATTTCTTTTGATTTTAGGTTTATTGAAAATTTGTGAAATTTGGATATTAGAAAATACAAACATCAACCAAAAAGTCAAAAAAATTTCTCGAAAGCAACTAAAAAGGTCGTCGACCATCCACCAAAAACTTAAAATATCTTGAAATCACCCAAAAAAATTTAAAAATTCTCGAAATGATGGAATTCGACTGAAAAATACATCGAGCGACTTTATGGGTCCTTAGTCCACTTTAAAGGTGCACACACTCTGCAAAAATCATGGGTCCACCCTTGATTAAAACACTAAAGATACCTCTATATCTACATGAATTGGCTTTTGTTGAGAAAGAGAGTTAAGTTGAGAAGTGTAAGAAGGAATCTCCACACATGGATGCACATTATGATAAGATTCATCGAGATGCACCGGATCAATCACCTTATCAAGCATGATTCATGGATGGGTTTGAAATTAAAGGTGATCAAGGGTCTTGATCTCCTATATTTCTCATCTTAACTCTCATCCCCACACGATCCTTCGCCATATCTACATATACCCTAAATTGGTTGGGTTCCTGTGATAAGAGAAATTATGGTAAGAAGCGTAAAAAAAGATCTTCACCCTTAAACCAATCCTAATTGAATGTCAACACAAATGAGGTGCACCGAGATGCATCATGGATATATTCATATTTTAATGGTTTTTATAACGGTTGTGGGTAGGGGTGCTCATGGGTTGAGTTGATTGGGTTGAAGACATTTGAACAACTCAACCCAACTCAAACCAAAGTGCAACCTAACCCAACCCAAACCGTACGGGCTGGTCAGGTTAGTCAGGTTGATACTTTGATATAAAAATATATTATCCTAACCTTTAATACGTATTTCAATACGTTATTTCTCTACTCATACTTTTTTTTTATCATCAACCATTTGATATAACTTATTCATACTTCTTAAATCTTACGTATATCACATTCAATTAATTTTCTCAATTTACATATATAGGTTCACAGTTACTGAACATATATATGAATGAATTATATAAAGATGGAGAACAAATTGAAAATATGCGTATATAAAGAGTATATATGATAGTGTAGTTGTCTAATATACATATTAATATAAACTCAACAATCATATTAAATCCAAGAAGTAAAAGAACATCAAGTTGGGTTGGGTTAGGTTGAGTTCAAATAATAGTAACTCAATATCAAATCATATCTACGGTTTGAAAATTTTACAATTTAATTAGACATTGAGTTACTTCAGGTTAAATTAATTTACATTGGGTTGGACTGGGTTGATCGGATTAATCAGATTCGTCGAGTTTTTAAGCAATCCTAGTTATGGGTTGAGCAGAGACATGGGTTGTGCTTTATAAATTTAAAATGGAGTGAGGGACCATGTTTTATTTAAATGGCCGTTTGTTTGATTTCAGTTTAATGAGGTTGATGGACAATTAACTTCATTAATTATATTATAGTAAATTTTTAATTTTAACTTAATAATAAGAGATGGACTTAACATAATAAGTCACTCCATCCTATTTCAATGCATTAAGCTATAATTTTTCTTCTAAACCTATCCTTGTTTTAAAATTTTGAACCCAAGTCTCAGGGGTTGTTTGGGATTTGCTTATTTCAAACAACTTATATTTTTCTATATAAAATCTTATTAATTTATTATAAGTTAGAATGGTTTAACTTCTTCAAAAACTGCTTATTACCGGTTTGACATCAATATAAGTTGTTTATTCAAACACTCAGAAGTGCTTATTACTGGTGTCACACCAGAATACGTCTACTTCTTCCACTTTTTGTAGTGGTTCTTTTTTTTTTCGATGTATTTAATTCTTATAAGATTTTTTTATTAGATCTTTTCATTTAGTATCCATTTTGATTTTATAATTATAGATGACATGAATATCAAACTATCATATTACACTATAGTTTTTAATTACATAGAAAAATATTAAATCAAAATAACTCATCATACATAGCCTAAACATTCCTTTATCAAATACAATAAAATAAAAATCATCATTTTTGTTAGCATTTAAAAATTAAAAGTTATGGTGATTCTTTGTGATTTGACGTGTGCTGTGAGCCATTCGATCATGTGGAAAATTGATAAAATTGGTAGAATGCAGATCAAGAATAGTGAGCCCCACAAACGGTGCCCGTGAAAGCTACCACCAAAACCTACAAGCACTCATTTTCTAGACTTTGTGGGAAGTGGGAAGGGACCAAACATCCCGTACCACACTCGTCTTTCTTATTCAAAGCACATTGACATCGACCACTACCTCTACTCCTCTACTCATGTTTTCATGATCAATACAACACCACAAAAGCATGTTGCACACTTGCACAAAGCACTTTTGGTGAAAGTGAAAATCTAGTGGCCATTTTATCTCTAGGAAGGATACTGTTTGAAGCTGGAACCACTCACATGTCATTGGCGCAAGGATAACCATGTTACCATTAAAAACCAACCTCCCATAATTCAAGAATTCAAACCATACCAAATGCAAGGGATGTGTAAGTATTTACTGTGTATAAATATTATATAAACAATAGGTCTAACCTTGTCCGGCTCAACCATCCAGTTTTGGAAAGCAGTCGGGTCAATTTGACCAGATATCCATTTTCATCAACTATCCAACTAATCCGGCCTCTCTTTTCTTTTCGGCAAATTCTCATGGTTAGACGAGGCCATACCCTTTTAATGTTCATTACCAATCATAGATTGACACATAGAGTAAGCCCCTACAAGTCAGAGCGAGGTTATCGGAGATAAATGAGATGGTGATTGCATTTAGGTTGGAGTCATACAACACCGGCCTATTTGGCAACTCCTACCACGTAAAAGCAGAAATCTATTGTTACATGAACGGGATAGCTATTAAATTAAACACGTCATAGAGATGGAAAGGAGAGAAAGTGAAGAAAACGAAGACATTACAAGGACGTTTAGAAGCTCAAACTAATCATATGCGAGCCACATAAGAATTGGCTTGGGTAACGTATCGCACCCACCGATATGGATTATATGTTTTCGACTTCTTCGCAATTTGCAAGTATTTCACCTACATGACAAAAAAGTAAACAAATGTTTATAGAAGATTTAACTTTCATGGCAGATATAATGCATATTCATGTGTATATTTACATGTAATGGTTATTCACATGTGATTATGGCTTGAAAAACATTATTTTTGAAGACCCGGTTAAAAAACCTCTAAAATATATATAGTTATATGTATCAAACTAAAGAGAATAAAATGCTCATTTTGTATGTAATTTCCTTGATTAAAAAATTAATTATATTTAGAGTAATTTGGATTTAAAAAAAAAAAAAGAAGGTAAATCTAATTTTACTTATAAAAAATACAATAAGTCTTCAAATTGGTCTAAACTCGATTTTACTCCTAATTTATTTAATTAACCCATACCCTGAGGCATCATGTGATACCAGCCTAATTTCGTGAGACAACAAATAACATTGAACCTTCACAGGAAAAAAACTGTGAACCATGAAGATTTAGTGTGTTTTTTGTGCCTTCACGGCTGGTCTTTCTCACGAAAACAGGCTGGTCTCATGAGAACCCAACCGCCAATACCCTTCCATTTAATCATCATTTCAGTTTCAAAGTCACTTCCAAAATTCACCATTGACTAAATTGAATCAAGGGCCATGATTTGTTCCTTCTTTATGTAGAGAGAGAGGGGGTGTGCATATAATAACAGGAAAGTTGAAAATGCTTCTCACCTGGAGTCTTGAGCAGTTATACATTGGTATGGTGAAGGTCATGCTGACAGGGCCAGCTTCTTTTGTTATATTACCTATTAAACAACAGCATATCACAAAGTTAGAAACAGTTCACAACAATAAATATATATTTATATGAACACAATGTTGTTGAAAGCGTTTAGTGTAAAGCATCATCTAGAGGAACACAAAGTCAGAAACAGTTCACAACAATCAATATAAATCTAGAGGAGGACATAATCAAATGAGAACCACCAATCTTTGTGTTGTTTCAATGCATATGAAAGTACAGTGTTGTTTTCACGATATGGAACAAAAAAATACACATTAAAAATAATCATATTGTGAAACAACAAAGCATTTTTCACATGCATTTACATATTAATGGTTTTCACAGTTCTCAACCTTTTTGTGGTTCTCGTCTGATTATTCCCTATCTAGAAGTCCGTATACAGTTTAAAATAATACCATGTGACTCATGTGAAAATGTTAACTTGGCACGCAGTGTATGGTCAGATCCACCAACAATCTGGAGTGAAATGGTGTTATCAGTAACTTCAGACAGTGAAATTAAAATCCAAAAATCAAAGCATAGCTTAATTAATTGGTCAAAGATTAGAACATCAGGACATAAAATAACCTTCTTTAACCCCCACTCGAGTTTCTTATTTGACTCCTTGAAATCGGTCACTTGTCCAACTGCTCCAGGTTCCAACTCGAAACTAACTCTAAAATGTTCGATGAAATAGCATTAGAACAATGAGGTTTGCTACACATTGATGAACTATCAAATATAGAGTAAAATATTTATCATACTTCAACTCAATTAAGCCTCGCTCTCAAACTAAATAATTGGAAATACTATGTATACATTCTCAACAAAGATGTCAAAGTTTAACTGTCACTAGATACCTCAAAGATTGCATTGAAAAATATATTATGATTATAAAAAGAAATTTTACATTGAAAGGCGTTGAAATGGACTTGAGTTGATATTGAACGTACAAGAAATGACAATCTTATGAACACAAGATGTAATTGCAGTTTAGAGTTCCCGTCAGAACTTGGCCAAAAAAGCTTGTTTTTGATGAAGCTCTATCAAGAACATAATTTTGTACATAATTTGCAAATACCTGGATGTGTATGTTGGCAGCGGCATCTGTACTACAACTGTATTTGCATTGATATTTTGAGGGAACTCGGCCCGTATTTTCAGAATCACCTCAGCCTTGGAAAGAAAATAACACATGGTATAATTCATCAGTGCACTCTACTTAGGGCCCGTTTTGTTTGCGGGATTTGGTGGGATTTGGATTTGGATTCCATTCCAATCCTGTGTTTGGTTTAAAGGAAAGTCCGGAATCGGAATCCCGGGATTTCAGTTAAATCCCACAAACATGGGATTTGGAAATCTCGTGGGGGATTCGGGTAGTTGGCATTTCGCAGGATTTCATATGATTTGTTTGTAATAATGTTTAAAAAATGTTCAAAACGATTGTCTTTATTATTTTTATAATTTTTTCTTATAATTTTTTTATAATGGCATTCAATTCTATTCCAAATCCTACAAACCGAACACACCAAAGATTCGAAATCCCTCCAATTCCGAATCCCTCAAAAACATTCTCGTCAAACCAAACAGGCCCTTAGGGAATATTGATTTGGTGATGACATGCATAAACACATCTGAAGGGCATTTATCCAAAAATCTACGAATCAGCATGGGACATTTACAAACCATTGAAAGAGTTTAAAACCTAAGATCATGTATGGGATATTAATGTGTAACCAAACAGAGAAGATATCTACCTTCAGTGATCCTGCTTCTTCGATCAGGGTGTTGATACGAAAAGGTGGCTTGAATTCCTGCGTCATGCGATAATTCATGACAGGGAATTCACCATCAGGGGGAACCTGATAACGGGGAGCAAGATCGAACATCAAATTCAACAACATGGGGTAGGTGTGTCATGTAAAAGAGATAGACTTTTGGTACATTACTTACAAGAGTCAGAGTTCTATCCACATCAAAACTATCAAGATGCACTGATTCATGGAAATTGCAGTCATCTAGTATAACTGATCCTGATCCACTAGAACCGCCATAATCTGTTGAACAAAGCATAATTCGATAAGCTTCTTGAAGGGAGATAACCCTCACAGTTGTTAACTTGGGTAAGTTATTAGTACTAGCTATCATGGCACACCAATGGACATCCATAAATGCGGTAAGCCGGTAAAATTACAAGTATATCAAGCATGAAGGGGTAATTAGAAAGCTTAGAAGTTGACTTGATGTGTGATTTGATGATAAAAGAATAAACTGATTGGATATATACCATATACTGATCTGCCACCTCTTCCTATATTTAGGTCCTCATTGAGAGCTAATCGGATTTCTGGATTGCCAGAAAGATAACTCTTCATTTGAATGGTGCCATCTATCTCAGAAGTTAGTATATATCCCTGTTGAGGTCAGAAGTTACAAGTATGAATTCAGAACAGTTTAAGGCACGGTGATCAAACAAGCTTTCATATACATGATATATCAAGCAGAAACTTCGGTAGACTTGACTAGTCTAGCTGACAGAGGTGTTCCTAATTTTATATTCAGGTGGGACTGAAAATAATATTTGCTGCCTCACGGCACCTGGTTGAAGCAGGCATAAAATCATCAATGAAAATGTTGAAACAGCTGTAAAATTGAAGTAATCGGATAATCTAATGGTTCACCCACTGTGTTCTAATACTACATACAGTTACGTTCTGAACAAAAATGTACATGTATAAAGAATATATTTCCTAATTCTAACACAAAGTCAACAACCTAGTCAAACATAAGATGCATACTTCACAATCTCAACATAACAAGCTCTACAAGACTAGCAATAACAATTAGAAACTTCTACTCAATCACTGCATGCCCAATGCTACATTATAGTATACAAAGACCATATAAACTGAATTACATATGCTTTACATAAATCTGCAAGAGGTATAAAAATCCACAAATACGCAAATATGAACATCCTAGCATAAAAATTAGAAGTGTCTTTAGAATAACCTTTACAACATGTTTTTTATTACTTGTTTTACAAGTGTAGGAAAATTGCAAACTTTGCTCCACTGACATAGGCTTTACTTCCTATATTTCGCTCAGTTGGGCTCTAGGAAGCAACTACTGTAGACATCATACTATATGTTATCCATTGAGTTTAGAGTTCATCAGTTTCACCTCTTACCAAACCAAACCTATTAATTTCCATACAGAGTAGGTTCTGGGGAGGATAGTATGTACGCTGACCTTAACTAGTTATCTCTACCCAAGGAGTAGAGAGGTTGTTTTTGTGAAGACATCTACCTCTGTAAAAAGGTCTTAAAACAAGAACTTTGCAAAGAATTTTTGGTTCCTGACCAGAATGCCAAACCAACTAGGTAAATCATCCCCTGAACCTTGCCTTCATAATTTTCCTAAGAGTATCATCAACACAGTTCTTGTTTTTGCACATAAAGATCAATTTCTATAGCTGATACTTATAAGTTACTTAAACAGCCCACACGTTTTCTACTAAAAGCAACAATGTGCACCAATTTTGCATAAGGTGGTTAACGAAGTCGTAGGAAAAATTACTCGCAACGCTGACACATATAACGGCTAACACATAGTTGTTTTTCCCAATGGCACCAAACCAACATCAGTGAGAGCCTGAGGTCATGCATTCAAATCTCATAAATGAGGTGTTCATTGACCATTTCTTTTGGGTTTTTTCTTATTCATTGGTATGATCAACTTATATCCAATTAGAGGAGAAGAACAGTTTCACATTAAGGGTTAGCCTAAAATATGATGATATGAACAAGGACAAGATGAAATACGAGCTTAAGCATCACCTAGACTTATATAATACAGGCATGATAAGAGTTGAAGGGATTCCAACAGTTTCAGAAGTTCTTGGTTCATATAAGAAAATAAACTTAACAGGAAAAAAAATAGAGTCAAACGACAATTTACTCACACTAGAGCTGAATGTAACACTTATTTTTTCAATTATATCCACGAATATCTCCTCCCTCTTCCTACCCCCAGGTTCATTAGCTACAACTGATTTTGTAACAGCCGTCCCAGGCATTCTTTTGCTGCCTTGCTGCATCCATCAAATATTGCAAGTTACATAGATATCATATGCAAGTAAAATTAAGTAAAGATATCAACCAATACCAAATAGTTTAATTGCATGTACCATAAAGAGGGCAGCCGGACCAAGAGGTGGCATATGTGTTGCATCAATCATGATTGGTTCATTAAATACAGATGCCTTTAGAACTTCAGTCGATGTTGTTTGCACATAACCAAAATCCTGGGTTCAAATAAATCAGCATGATAATTAACTTTTGTTGGTTGAATAGCAAGAAGAAAATGGCACTTATTACCTACAAACCCATAAAGTTCTATAAGTCCAATACATATGATCAAAAGAAAACAGATGTGCCATGTTCAGAGAATGTAGTGCAATCTTCAATGGGTATTGAAGATCAGATCACCTAGTATTGATGGAACAAATATGATCCCTCAGCAACAAAATCCACCTTATGAACAATTTGTGCATTTTAGGAAAGAAATAAACTAATTAGCCTGAAATTATTTTTAGAGAAATAATCCCGAAGGACAAAAAATGCACCCAAAGAGAACCTTCAGCTTTTCATTTCAAACTTAAACACAATAGCAGTGTTTCAGGTTTTCAAAGTCAGATCTTTATGCACCAAATTATGAAGTAGAAATTACTAAAAGTTGCTCTACTCATGTAGAACACGTTTTGAAGACATTCCATTCCATTTTAGTACACCCAACAATGTCAATTAGAAGAAAAACTTACGATAACTTCATCAAGTAATTCATACACAAGCACAAAGTTTTTCCGTATAGAATCTTCATTAAGGATGCCAAGGTAATCTTTAGTAACACGTGCTATTCTTTGCAGAAGCTCCAAGACAAGAGAAGGTGACACATTTGCTCTAGTGGTTGCAACAAACAGCAATCCGACCACTTTTACATGAAAGTAGTTGACACCATCCACATTCTGTCGTAACAAATTAAATGCATCATATCATCAGCAACCACGATGTTAACATAAATAGTCATATTGAAATCTAATGTTTGCATACTATAAGTTGAAAAGGTTGGAATCATGTTTTAAGGAATGAAAGTAATAACCAATGGAACAATTTACTAGATAAGTAACATAAAATGTTCGACAATCTTTCATATCATGCATATACTTGAATATCATGTACATCAATACAATCAAATTATCATCATATACATGTAAACACATCATGCAAATATCATGGATAAACAGAGTGGTGCCTGATTGGTTTGAGCTTGGGCTCTAAAGGTCAAAAGTGCTTGGAGGTCCTAGGTTCAAATCCAATGAGAAATAAAAATCCCCTTGTGGCCACGGAGGTCCAAATGCGGTGATCGCCCTGGGATTAGTCGGCTCGCATAGCGGGTTGGATATCCAAGTTAATCAAAAAAAACGTTCGACAATTAGTCTAAGGTTGTAGTATGGTGGTGCATCTATCAAATTTTAAAATAAAAATCGAAAACAAAGAACATTAAGATAGGCAACAATGGACTCTAAGATTGACTTGCAGTTGTGCATCTATCAAGTTCTAAAAAAATGCAAAACCAAAGATGTAGGTGGAACAAGTAATGACAAATGAGTACAGAAAGAAACAGAAACAACTTAATACTGAGAACACAGCTAGCTAAGCATCACATGTGACCGGAAGATATATTTAACAAAAAAAGTAAACAATGTACATTTTAAAAGGTACATACAAAGACAGGTGGAGCCTCAGTTTCCCCATCCTCTTTCCAGAACTTCACTTTACGAAAAAATATCTCTGCACTTCCTTTTTGCACATCACCACGATCTGCATCAGTAGATTTCTAACTCAAGAAAAATCCCGAGGAAAATTTTTATAAAAAGACCAGTTATTTTGCATAAATAGCTCATCATCGGCCCATCAGCTACTCAAACTATTAACCCGCCATGAATCAATCAGCACTAGGCAAGCTTCAATAAAGACTATCAGCCATAGGTCGAGAGTGTCATGTATACAAGCTACAAAATATGGAAACCCTGAATCTGGTTCGGTATGTATCATGTGCAGTACGTTCATACGCCTACAAGTACTTATGGATGGTGTAACAACTTGTCCCACATGGATAGAAAGTGAGAATTGTTAGCTCCTTATAAGTCCCAAGTAGTGGGCTATCAATAACTTCCACCATGGTTTTAAGTTGAATTTGAAGTTATTGGTCCAGCCTTTTGCTTTGGGCTTTGGATTGTTTCAGATGGAGCATATGTAGTAAACCTATTTAACAATTAAGAGTTGGCAAAAAATGTACAAGTTATGTCTGCATCCAGCTTTCATTCTCCTTACGAACATTAAGAACCAACTTTCAAGAGGGTCGAAGTGTCTTAAAATAGCCTGATTAATCTTTAGAAATTTAACATAGCATCCAAGAAATACAAAACCTAATTGTCAAAACTCAGCTACGAGTGTAAAAGACTAAACGCTTGAAGGAAAATCATGAAAACGTGAAACTCCATAAAAGGGTACAGTTGTACCCTTTTGCTGTGTCCTGATTTTACAATGATTCATCCAGGAATAGTGAAAATATAGCAGATGAATTATAAGTGTTGATCCTCACACCTACAGCTTAAGCAATTGATTTATTCCTTCATCTAATTATAAATCATGCCAAGCTTTCAGTTCATGTTATAATAGATGACATGTCTATGCACTGACATTCAGTGGGCAGCCAATAATGGTGGAACCTAAAATTCAGGTACAGTATGTTTAAAAGTTCAAGGTTTTAAACTAAGCAATAGAAGACATACCGTGTTATGTTTCCTTGCCCAATATCAGTTCTCAGATGCCTCACATTGGTAATTTGATATTTCACATTACAGAACTTACTTCCACTATCTCAAGAGTCAAATTTTTATTCTCTATTTATCTATATCACAGTTCACTGTAGTTCCCACATAACTATCTTATCCTCTAATCCTTCAGCATTCTGGCCTGCAGTAAACACTCCAAAAGCATTCCTTTTACACCTGGGAGGCAATAAACTAATAATTTATAACATAGATGGAGAAGTAGATCTGATTCAAACCAGACATCTCTTAAACTCCTCCCAACTACTAACTAACAACCCATATATAAGCATGACCCTGGAGTCTTAATTACTTTAACAGAGTATTACACTGTTACATACAAAGCAATTAGAGAATGCTTAACAATTGTCATCGCTATCTTTTATGGTAATGAACAAGCCTAATACTCTCTTTGATACTGGTATTGTAGTCCTTCCAACCCTGCACATCACTATGTCCATCCAAAATCCTTCATCAGGTCGTTTCAAAACAATTTTCTCCTGTTCTATCTCATACCAGAGCTGCAATAACAGTCTTGTAATTGTGTTCACTTCAAAGTAGTCTCTTCTCTGTTAATTGTCACTCACCCATCCTCACATCTCGACTTGCCACATCCATTTCATGGTGTATAGCTCGCAGTCGTTTAGGTGCCGCTAGAGATGGTCATCCAAAAGGTAGACCTTTGGATGCAATGATTAGACAAGGAGACTTGAGCAAGAGGATGCATTAGGAGATGTAGAGATCTGTCAAGGCTGATAAGTATAAATGGTCAAGAGAGTTCCAAGTAAGTGGAATATACCAAAGGATTTGTCTTTAGACAAGAAGGCACCATGTCTACTATTTCTATTTCATTTTCAGCTTGCCTACCTAGCTAGTTTGGAAGAAAAGCTTGTTGAGACTAATTGAGATTGTAAGTATTGAATAATGAATGCAGTACTTAATTGTTAAGAGGAGTGTCTAACCACTGAATTCTGAATAATTAGGATGGTTTACTAGTCATCTGCATCAAGTTATTTTGTACACAAGTTTTTCCACACTTAATTATTAATAACTATGTGCACTGTTCACATTGCTACTTCATCGTCAAAATCTGAATGACTTTCAAGTAGGTCTAGACAAAATTCTTCTTGCGATGTATTTTTCCTTGTATAATACAAATGGACATATCTCAACCAAACCTGAAATAAAGATGAATATGAAGAAAAATAGCAAGTTCAGATGTCCAGTATTTCTAATATGGTACCAAGAAAAAATAATATGCACAAGATACAGAAAAAGAAGAATGGGAGAGAGGCCCTATCAATCACTTAGAAAATAATAAAATCAAAGGAGTTACAAAACAAGTAAATAACACCATCTACTTTTGCTTTTATTTTCTCCCACTTTCTCAATACCAAGTCCCTATTTTGCTGAGTTTGTGTGTTACTATATTTGCTAGGAATCAACTTTTTTATGATTGGAGTTGGTCCTTAGGAAGTAGAAACTTCCTAACAGCCAAATTTGAGAGGAATTACAACTTGTAGTATTTTCTAATCTTCTTCTTTAGTGAAATTCCACCCATTTTGATAATCTTTCTACAGTAAACAGTTAAGAGCCATTAGATGGAAAACATAATGAAGAAAATAGAGCAAGCATAGAGGGGAATCGGAGGGGGGGGAGGGGAATTTCCCATCTACTTCCTCCATTTTCTCCTATCCCCGTTCCCTCTCCTCTATCAGATCCAATACCCAATCAAAGTTAACTCTACAGCTAACATTCAACCATAGTTGCTCCCTCAACACTTAATCATCCCATGGCCTCTTTGCTTCACCTGTAATTCATATACCTCCAAATCACTACACTTTTAGATACTGAAATCCCTCTTCCCTCACAACTTGCCCAATCAAGATGACCATTCACATTCACATGTTCAGATACTATAAAAAGACCAAACTCTTAATCATCATATTTGGTTTCATTTGCCTCTTTGCTACAGAATGTGCAACTTGACTATGAATTGCCTAACTCAGTAACCAAAAGATCTTAATGAAGCACAAAATTGGTGCTTTAGCCATATACATGGAAATTGCTATAAAAAATTGAGATGTAATTCTTCAAAAGCATCATCCTTAACATAAACACTTTTTAACTCAATTTTTGGTTTTGTAGTAGATGTACTCCTTACTGAATCCACTAAATAGTACAAGTTAGGTTGGTCATAATTGCTGTTGCTCCTAAATTTTAATAGAAAAACACAGACAAGCATTACGAGTAGCTAAGAATCATAGAGTATTATTACCTTTGTAAATTGTAAAATTACATCAATAATAAGAAACCTAACACAAACACATGCATTCATCCATAGGAGAGAACTCACAATCACGAAAAACGATGTTATCGCCTCTCTGCGATAATACAAAAAACTGCGATATCATGGCAACCAAACACCCAACTTTCTTCCACGATTCAACTATCTCTGTAACAAACAAAACGAAACTTCGATTAAAACTAAATTAGGTCTTTTGTGATACCTACTAATTGTCCGTGTCTGCTACCAACATAGATTCACTCGGTATACAGTCAAACAAGTAAGAAATTTCAATTAGATTGAAATTAACTAAACTAACAAGAATATGATTCACAAAACCGATTCCTAATTTGTAAATTATAGATGAATCGGCAACAGGTGAAGACAGTACCTCAAGAAATCAAACAATGATTGTAGAGCAGAGGAGGGTGAGTATGATCAGATCTGAAAGAAATACAATATTGGGAGAGCACGATCAGTTGCAATGTTTTGCACCGCTTCTAGAAAGGCTTCGCAGTGACTATGGAACGATTTTATATGTCGACGTTTACGTTTCAAACGGTTAATTATATTTATGCTATATTATAAAATATTTCATAAAAATATTTAAAATTTATTTTTTATATATGAATTTTTGTTTATTGATATACGTTATTTAAAATTTAATATTACAAAATAAAATGTAT